CGTCTTATTGTCGGAAAAATACGGTAATAGCCATCTCATAACATTCATGAAAATAAAGACATCAATGTTAATTTGGACAGCTAATAGGCAGAGTCTGAGAGTATGTCATAAATTATAAATTATTTATTTTATTCAATTTATACAGCCACCCATCTCAAATGATATGACTCTGGATGGCTAACAATGAATAAAACAAGACAAAAACATCATAACACAATAATAAATAACTTATACAGCAACTGAGATAAAAACCAATGAACACAATTAACCATGATATGGGCTGAACCATATATTGTAAAGGGGTAGAAGGTATAACCATGAGGAATAGGAAGAAGAGCTGCTAATAAGGCAACTGTCAGATAAAAGGAATCTGAGGCCGGGGCAGAAATGTAATCAGAGAAAACATCTCAGACAAGACCCTTCCTGATTCTCACAAATATAAAGAGGGGGAAAGCACATTCAGACTTGTGAGATTCTGTTTATAATATTATAATATTATAATAAAAGCAGTATTGGCCTGCATGACTTTGGTTTCCTAATCTGGTCTATCTTGTAGGACTGACACATTCAGTGCCCAGACTCAGTAACAAAACGAGGTCTTCAAGGCATTACAGAAAGCTAATACGGTTGGGGCTGGAGACTACTAGAGTCACCTCAAGATGTATTTATTCTATTTATTCAATTTATATAACCACCCATCTCACATTTGTGATTCTAGGTGGCTTAGATTGGAGTGGCACACATGATAATATAAATATGTTTTTTTAATCATAATATTTAGCCATGAGATCATCCTAATGCCTTGCAGCTAAGATATGCTTAGTTCCTTATATGAGGAATAACCCTGCCTCTCATCTCAAAAACTCATCTGTTAAGTAAAACCAAAAATCACTTTTTTGTTTTTTTTTTCCAATTCAGAACAGGCATTCCTGATAGGTGGGCAGGATTTTAATTTTTTTTTTCAATAGGGAGGGCAGAAAAAATACTTTTCACAACAAAAAATCTACTTTTGTTTCACCACTGCCTACGTACCCTATCCTTGAAATCAAGTTCTGTCCTAATCAGTCTTCCTAAGAAAGGAAGTTAATGTAATGATAAAATATAAGATGCACAGAGACGTTCTGATTAGCAAATAAGGTCAGCGTGGGCTGGATGGCATAACAATGAAGTGGGTGCATGCTGGTTATGTTTAGCCTTGAGGAAAGACAAATGTGGAGTGGACGCATTTCATTTTGAGCCTGAAAGAAACACATTTTTTTGAACCATTGGCTGAACCGGGAACATTTTGGTTGTTCTGGATTTTGGCTGACAGAAAATCCAGAGCAGCCTTAAGAGGCTGAACGGGGCAAGACTGGTGGCCCTTCCCTTCTTTCCCTTCCTTTTCTGCATGGCATGTGAGCCACCTTCCTCTTGCCCCCTCCCAATCTTTCCAGCATCTTTCTTCCCCTACTTCCCCTCAGCCACCGCCAATGTCATTAGCTTCAGGAGTGGCATAGCCAACTAGCCTGCCTCCTCTGCCCCCTGATCTTTCCAGTACCTTGTTTCCTTATTTCCTTTTACCTGCCGGAGGCCCCTGCCAGTGGCCTGCGCTTTTTCTAATTCCCATGCCCTCCCAAAACAGGCCTCCCCAGAACCAAACATGCATTTCTTGATAGGGACGTGGACTCTTCTGAACTGGCGGTTCAGTGCACGCAAGAGTTTATACCTCCTCCCTATACTTGAAAATGTGAAGAGTTGTTTTCCCTCGCTCTTAGTGCAGGACACAGAATAAGTTAAATGCCAGGGAAAAACCCTCCACTGTAAGAGCGATGAAAGCCGTGACTCAGAGAGGAATGCTGGAGAGCCACCAGTTTGGGATGCTTTGAGCTGGGTCCCTGCACTGAATAGGATGCAGGAAACTCTGTGGCCATTCCATTGCTCTCCACTGACAATTAAAAAGAAAAGAGGGGTGGAGAGGAATATCACTGTTCTTTCTAGGCAAATTTGCAGACCATCAAAATATTGAGAATGTATTTCTGCTCCTTCCAGTCTTGAGTTTTTCTTTTCTGCTCTTTTGGATTCTCTGGCTTCATTCTACCGTTTAGAGAAATATTCCTAGAGAAGCATTATAACTGAGTTACTGAGAGCAGGAAGGTCCAGCTATGAAAGGGGTGTACAATCTGTAAGGTTTTGTGGGCCAGATTTCTTCAGAGTTAATTGTAGAGAGCTGCATGTCAGTAGGGTACAGGTCTTGGAGGACAGGAAGGCGGGTAGGGAGCGGTTATTGCTTGGAGGGAGAGTCCCCCTCCCTATAGGAAGCCACGACCACGTGTCACGGCAGGGAAAATGGCCGCGGATCCTGTTCGTCACCCGATCCGGCGTTCGCGAATGGAAGCAAAATTTTGTGAACGGAGCTGTTCGTGACCCGAATTGGTCGTGAACAGAAGCGTACCACTGTACTAATTGATCTTTCTCTAAGCAAACAAGTTAATTTTTCCATCTCTGCTAATTCCATCATCTTCACCAGCTATTCCTCCATTGTGGGTATTTCAGAATCTTTCCATTTTTGTGCATGTACTTGTCTTGCAGCAGTGATCATATATAAAAATAATCTTCCACAGCTTTTTTCTAGTTGTCTGTTTCAGTTGAATTCTTAATCTTTAAAATTCTTTGTATCATTATATGTATTTGAACCCAAAACTTTCTGGCTTTTTTACAAGTCCACCAAACATGATAAAACGACCCTTCATGTTGTCGACATTTCCAACATAAATTTGAGGTACAGTGGGGCAAAAAAGTATTTAGTCAGCCACCAGTTGTGCAAGTTCTCCCATTTAAAAAGATGAGAGAGGCCTGTAATTTTCTTCATAGGTATACCTCAACTATGAGAGACAA